TGCATAAGTGTTTCTTGAGGAAAAAGCGGTGGGGTGGGGGATGGTGGGGTTTCTGAAAAAGAGAAATCAGATTCTGCTACTACACCTTCTATTTTTTGCAGTTACTTTTTGCAATTTTAAAGGATTTATTTTAAAAAAAATTTTACCTCCTACGGCAAAGGTTGACACCTTATTTATTATAAATATATACCCTTTTAAAAAATTATCTTTTATAGCTACTTTTTAATTTTTATAGCAAAATATCTATTTATGGTCACCTCCTACCGTTAATTCAGATTTTTCTCTCACAAAATTACCGTATTTGATGTAAACTTCTTTCTCCATGATCTCTCTCTCCAATTTCTCTCACTCACATCGTCATTCTCTTCCCCATTCTCAAAAACCACGATTCTCCACTTCTTCATCTGCACTGTCTTTCTCAATTTTCTATATTTTTTGCTCTAAATAGTTGTGGTAAGTATTTAATTTGTTAGATTTTCGCTTGTACTGTGTTTCTTCTGTTTATCTCTACTAATTGTTTATAAATAATCACTATTGTTATGCTTTCAACAGAAAACTTGAAATTTCCTCTCAAATGGCTGATTCAACATCCCAAAAGATGGTTACCAGAGGTATACCCGCCAAAGCACTCAATTTTGATGGGCCCTTTTTCTCTTTGCAAATCACTCAAGCGAAATTGAATGCAGTTTCAGCAGCAAATACAGTTGCAGGGAGGAGAATAAAAATACGCAATGACACATCAAAAGAAGCCCAAGTTGAGAAATCTTCGAAAGAATCAACATTTCCTGATGCGGAAAAGAGAAAAAAATTTATGGATGATGCTTCAGGTGTTAAGGGAAAGGAGGTCGATGCAGGAACTAGCTCGGATACACGGGACGAAAAGGTAATTGTTGATGTATCTATATGTATTTGAGTCCACATACATTGAGTATTATCTTCTACAATGGGTTTCTCTTATTGTATGTTAATGTATTTATATGTATTCTATAGTGCATACATTACTTTCTCTTCTCGTATGTTGATGTATTTATATATATGTTGATGTATATATATGTATTCAATAGTGCCTTCACTGACTTGCACTTATTATAGTGACTTTTGTATGTTGTATTTATATGTATTTAGATATATTTTAGTTCATTCCACAATTTTTTAAATACACTAGTTGTTGTATTTATATGTATTTTAGTTCATTCCACAACTTTTTAAAATACACTAGTTGTTCTAGTTTTAGTTATGTCTTCCATCTAAGTATTTTCATATGTTGCTGTATTTATATATATATTGATGTATTTATATGTATTCAATAGTGCCTTCACTAATTTGTACTCAAGCCAAATGTATTCTGCTGTATTTAGAACAACAATCATTGTCATTACTCTCATTTTTTGTGCTAATTATCAATATATTATGTTTGCAAAACATGAATGAGTTATGTATTCCAAATAACTGTATTCAACTATATTTTCACTCATTTATTAAAACTTTGTAATTTTTGTTGTACGCAGGAAATTAAACTAATTGTTAAACACCCACCTATTTTATCACCGCATATCAGTTCCTACACTAATACAGACATAGTCTCCGACCTCAAAGAAAAACTTACTCCAGAGCAGTACAAAATATTTGGTACTACTTATTTTGGAAGTTTCCTCGATATGAAACGGTATGAGGTCCAACATCAATTGTTCAGGTGCTTCATGGTTCTGCAGTTGAGCACTTTTGGTTTGGTTCCACAAACAATATTTGATGCCAATTTATTCCGTCAAAGATATGGTGCCCTCCTTTGGTACTATTATATGCGAAAGATAGACGCCGATGCCATAAGCGAGAATGAAGCACCCTCAAAGATTGTTAGGCAAATCACATATTCAGATACTTCTGTGAAGATAGTTTTAGAATAGTTTTCTGTGAAGATGTACTTTGAAGATGGTTTCTCTGAAGATAGTTTACGAAGATAGTTTTTTGAACATAGTTTTATGTGAAGAATAGTCTTCTGTAAAGATAGTTTTTGAAGCTTATTAAAGAATACATGGTGGTTTTCGTCAAACTATTTTATTTTTAGAATACATAACTTTGTTGTCTATAAGATGCTGCTGAAATAATATACAACAACCTCTAAGTTATGCTGTCTTCATTTTATTCAATTTAACTAAAGCTTCAATGTGTTTCACTGAATTATCCAGCCTCTAAGTTATGTATTCAGCAGAATGTATTCACTATTGTCCAGTATGTATTCTTATGTATTGAGATATATTTTTAATTAATATTAGTTATGTAATTCCCATATATGTTCACTTGTAAATTTGTAATGCAAGTCATGTATTCATTTTATGCCGTGTATTCACTGTAGTTATTGTTTTCTATATTTTTAATTTATTCACTGTATTTTTATTGTATTCAATGTTTTTCACTGTATTTATTGTCTTATACTTTTTCAATCTATTCACTGTATTTGGCTATATACAATGTAATTCTATAAATTTAATAAATTAAAGTCACTATATAATTTAACACAGTGTATTCAGACGTATTCTATATTAAAAGAAATACAGTTACATTCTATATTCACGGTTTTTGTGACTGTTTTTTCTGTTGCTCGTTGAATTCTATGTATTCTGAATACATAAGAATACATACTGGATAACACTGAATACATTCTGTTGAATGTAGAATGGATTCATATCTTNTATGTATAGTTATGTATTGCACTATTGATGACCTGCTATACCTCATTTCTGTATATAAATCAATTTGTAAAGATATCACTAAAAAATATTTTTAGTGATCTGAAATTAACAAATTTGATACACCAATATATCAAAATGTAATATAAAACTTTAGAAAATAAGTGACATATTGTAATTGCAGTATTTGAATACATAACATGAACTAATTCCTATGTGGAGCATTTCTACAAGTACGCTTATTATGTCCTCCCTGTCCACATATACTACACGAATGTTGATTTTTCTTCTGAAACAATTCACTGAACGGCTTATCGCGCTTCTTCTTTGGCCTTCCAGGAGGTCTTTTCCATTTGGGTGGTAAGACAACTTCCTCTAATATATGTGTTGGTATATTCCATTCACTTCTGTCGGGCAGTGGATACACCGGCACCTCGTATGCTATTACAACAGTTTTTGATTTGTAATACTCCGAGCAATAATCTTCCGGCATTAGAAACTTGCTTTTCAAGACAGCTCAAGCATGTGGGCATGATAATTCGTCAACTTGAAATCGCCTACAACTGTACTTTTTCTCTAGGAGGCAAACAGTGTAATGCCTTCCTTCATCGTTCACCATATGCAAGTGTTCAGCTGATGGTACAACCTACATTAAACAGAGAAATATAAGTATTATTTACATAATAAATATCTCACAGAATATATGTATTAATTACAGAATACGTGTATTCACTAAAAACAGTTTAACTATATGTATCAATATATTATATGTATGTATGAAATACAATAACATACAATGAAATATAATGAAATGTATAGAATATAGCGAATACAGACTATATTAAGAATGACAGACTATTGAAGATGAACACATTTAGATAAGGAATACAGTTTATCTGCTATAAAGTGCATCTAATTTGAAACAAAACTATTGAATACAAACAGTGAAGTGCAAATGTATAAAAAATTAATGTATACATATAATAACCAGTTTTACTCCATTTCATACAACAGAATACATGCACAAGTGCTATAATACAATGAGCATGCAATATGTTAATAGTAGAAATTGTATAAAAAATAAATACATATTACACCAGTTCTAAATACATGATGCAAGGACTTAAAGCAAAAAAAAAAAAAAAACTTACAGTCATACGTATAGACATTGCCTCATTCAAAGTAATCACCTCCTGGTATTTTTTTTTTCAAGCGTTGTGTAGGTGTGTGAAGCTTCTTTCCAATTGCTGCAATTCCAACGTCCAAATATCTTCCTAACTTCTTCTAGGAAGTCGTATATTGGCAATTCTCTTGATGATACAAGTGTGGCATTGATTGATTCAGCAATATTTGATGTCATGGTCTATCCCCGGTTAACCGGTGCATACAACCTAGCCCACTTTTCGTACCCAGCTAATTCCAAGTATTCTTTCATCCGAATATCTACCTTCTCCACATTTTTCATTAGACTATCAAATTCATCCTGAGTGTATGCTTTTGCCATCGAGAAGTATATCTCGCTCAACTTTGAGTGACTCTTTTTGAATTTCTTATATACGTTGTTCCATAGATGCCATATATAAGCAAGATGGGGTACCGTAGGATACACTCTCGATACAGATTTGATGATACTCTCATTCCTATCTGAAACGATGCATATGTTTTCCCTCTCACCATATGCTTCGTTGAATTGCTCAAAGAACCACGACCAAGCAGCATCGTTCTCTGAATCAACAATACCATATGCTAGCGGCATAATGACCTGTAAATACAATTGCATACATATATTAAAAAATCATTCAATATGTATTATGCAATAGCATTAACAAATTTTAGTATAATCCATATATATATTTTTTTAACAGACCCACCTGCACCATCCAATGTGCTAGCCGAGACAAATGTCCTTGTGTATGCCGATTTTAGGTGGCTTCCATCCACAACCACGATGGGTCTACAATGATCGAACCCCTTTATAAAAGCATATAATGATATATACAAATACAAAAACTCATTTTTGGTGACTTTACCATTCTAGTATGCAAACCAGGATATGTCATATCCAGTGTATATAAGTACCCTGGCAATTTATTGTATGAATCATCCGGTTCACCTCTCAAAAAATTTATTGCCTTTTCTTTAGCCCTCCACGCCAACATGTAACTAACATCTACACCAAAGTCTGATTTCACATCATCAATTATATCCTTTGGGGTGTATTTCCTCTTATGATTAGTAAATTTGGACCTAATCATACCACCAATAAGGCTATTACTTGCTTGATGTTGCTCATATACCTTATCATTTAACGGACATGTATGCTTATCATTGAACTCCCTTACTTTGAACATTTATGATTTGTTAATGCTAGAAGCCTTAAATCTCCATTCACAATCCTCTGAAATACATTATAATGTATAGCTGCAAATACATTTATGTAATACCTACGATCAGTTATGTATGGATATGGAATATAAACATAAACTACAACTGATTTCTCTACCTACAACATGGCATTTTCATTTGGCAACAAAATTGTCTATATGGAAATATACAGTGAAATACAATGTTTCTTTCTTGAGTACACTATAAATATTTTTTTAATACATATGAACAAAGTGTTACATATGTATACATAATTACAGAATACACTCATATATATGTTAATATATTGATGCACATGTATACATGATTACAGAATATACTTATATACATATGAATACAGTGTACTTGCTATAATTATTTTAGCAANACGCCCCCATCGCTTCGCGTTCGCGAAGAAGAAATCTTCAGCTGCCCAGTTTACTCTTCGCGTTTGCAAGAGTACCTTCGCGAACGCGAAGAAGGACATGCCAGAACACGTGCTGCAGCAAAATACCAGATTTCCAAAGTGCAAAACATCTCGTGGCCTATCCGAAACTCACCCGAGCCCTCGGGGCTCCAAACCAAACATGCACACAAGTCTAAAAATATCATACGAACTTGCTCACGCAATTAAATCTCCAAAATAACACCTAAAACTACGAATTTTGCACCAAATCAAATGAAATTTTCAAGAACACTTTAAAATTTTTATTTTTCTCAACTGGACGTCCGAATCACGTCAAATCAACTCCGTTTCTCCCCAATTTTCACAGAAAGGTCTTAAATATCATAATGAACCTGTACCGGGTTCCGGAACCAAAATACGGACCCGATACTAATAATGCCAAATATCAATCAATTCTTAAGAACAAATAATTTTTAAACTTTTAATTTTCATCAAAAATTCATAACTTGAGCTAGGGACCTTCGAATTCAATTTCGAGCATATGCCCATGTTCCATAATTCGACGCGGACCCACCGGGACCGTCAAAATACAGATCCGGGCCCGTTTACCAAAAATATTGACCGAAGTCAACTAAAATCAACTTTTAAGGCAAAAATTCTTATTTTCATTAGTTTTCAACATAAAAGCATTCCGGAAACCTGCCCGGACTGCGCACATAAATCGAGGAAGTTAAAAATTGGATTTTTAAAGTTTAAGAGCGCAGATTCGAGTTCTAAAACATAAGATGACATTTTGGGTCATCACAGGTCGTTACCCAGTAAGTATCAAGACTAACCTCAATGGAGTAGAGGCGAGGTACAGTCAAGACACTCACTAATCTAATAACCTGTGCAATATAATATACAAAATAATAGGAAATAAATAATAATAAGGGCAGGATAAAACAACCAGTGATATGCACAACAGACAACAAGAATACCATTAATATCACTCAAAAATTAATAAATACAATTACACCCAATTAAATAAAGTCCTTCTAATAAATGTATTTCATATATAATTCCTCCAGATAACTCTCTTTCAAATATAATTTTCTCAAATAATTATTTTTCAAATATAATTCTTTCAATAAATCTTTTCAAATATAATTTCCTCAAATAAATATCTTTCAAATATAATTCTTTCATATAATATTTTCTAAGTAAAAATTCTTCCAAATAAATATTTTGAATATAATTCTTTCAATTAAAAAGTCACCATGTGACACCTCATTTCATAATCAAAAAAATACGGGTCTCGGCTCTTTTTCATATTTCCACGGCACCTGGTACCCATAATTAAATCATCATATTTTTCCGACACCTCGTGCCCTCATTTCATATCACAACTGCACAGACAATTCACGTGCCAATTATCATTATCATTTCATCACAACACCTCGTGCCCACATTTCATATCACAACTGCATGGACAATTCACGTGTCAAATATCCTCATTATTTACTCACGGCACCTCGTGCCCACATTTCATTTTATAAACCGCCTGGCAATAGCCATAGGCTCTCAATTTCAACATAAATCAGATTGTTATCAATTTACCAACAACAAGATAAATTTCACAATGTATAAAAGTAAACACAAGCAAATCACAACATCACATGAAAATTATCAACACCACAATCCCACATCACCACATATCGTCCCTGACAATAGCCACCCTTATCGCTCTTATTGCCACCCTTATCACACCTATAGCCACCCTTATCGCTCCGCGCCCAGACAATACCAATAGCCACCCTTATCGCTCCTATTGCCACCCTTATCGCTCCTATAGTCACCCTTATTGCTCCGCCCAGATAATATTCCAACAAACACCACAGTGAAATGCCACCCTTATAACCACATAATATCAATGGTGAAATGCCACCCTTATCTCCCCAAAATAACAACTCACACAATACAACAATTTACACGGAAAATTATCATAGCAATATAACAAAATCAATTCATATCACAATTTGCCCAATGGCCACAACCAAATTCCAAAGCTATAACCAAGTCAATTAATTTCACAACAAATAACCAAAAGCTCCACACAATATGTACAACACCCAAAAAACAATCAATAGAGATAAAAATTACTCAACATAAAGCAAATTCTTCATTAAATTTAATTTTTCAATAATTATATAAACACCTCTTCTTAAGCTCATTTAATTAATTATTTGCAGAGGAAAAATCCATAATAAAATTAAATTCAAATAATTATCAAACCAATAAATTCACGGAATTACATAAATAATCAAGTAACAATCACATCAAATTGTCATATAACAACAGATTCAACAACAAGGATTTAGGCACGACAATTAGATGATTAAATATATACCAACAATTACCCAATTTACCACACAATATGCTCAGGACTTTAACTCAATAAAATTTACACATATAACCCGAGTACGTACTCGTCACCTCGCGTACACGGCTTTTCACATCTCACAAATGGCACATAAGACACGATGCCTAAGGGGTAATTTCCCCACTCGAGGTTAAGCAAGACACTTACCTTTTTGAAGTTAGGCCAATATTCTAAAATAGCCTTCTTGCTTGAATTGACCTTCGGACAGCTCAAATCTATCCAAATTAATTTTATAACTTCATTAAAATTCATCGGAAATAATTTCGGATAATAATACGTCGACTTAAATTTTATTCCAAAAAGTCAACAAAAGTCAACGCGGGACTCGCCTCTCGGAACCCGATATAATTTTCATGAAATCCGAACACCCAATCCGATACGAGTTCAACCATACCAATTTTATCGAATTCCAATAACAAATCGACCTCCAAATCTTAAATTTAAACCAAGAAGGTTTTTTAAATTTTTCAACCCAATTCACTAATTTAGTGATAAAAATAACAATAGATTCATGTAATTTAACCAAAATCAAGTTAGGAATTCTTACCCCCAATATTTTCCTTGAAAAACTCTTGAAAACTCGCCTCACCCGAGCTTCCTTGGTCCAAAAATGGAAGAATGACACGAATTTGGACTTTATTCTGCTGCCCAGGGATTTGTTCTTCGCGTTCGCGAGACTTCCCTCGCCTTCGCGATGAACAAATTCTTCAAAGTCATTTTCAAAATCTTCTTAGACAGCCTTTAGTATAATGGTCATAACCTTTTATACAAAACTCCAAATGATGAATGGTTTGACTTTCTGAAAACTATACTCCATGAAATATAACTTTCATTTGTTGCTCATCTCTCAATTCCTTATAGATTACGAGATATAAGTTTTCAAAGTCAGCCTTGTACAACAGAGATTTCCAAACTCTTCCCGGACAGCCTATAGTATATCCACCATAACTTTTTGTACACAACTCCAAATGATAAATAGTTTACTTTTCTGAAAACGAGACACAAAGGGCTACAACTCTTATTTTTGATTATCTCCAAATTCCTTACAGATTGCGAGATATGAGCCTCTAAAGTCAGACAACAAACAACAAAATTTTCTTCTTCGCGAACGTGAGAACCTCTTCGCGAACGCGAAGAACAAAGTCCTAACAACAAAATCCTTCTTCGCGAACGCGAGAGGCTCCTCGCGAACGCGAAGAACAACACCAGAACCAGCAACCAGCAGCATCAAAACACCCAAACTTGGTCCNCAAACCCGAGGCCCCCGGGACCCCGTCCAATCGTACCAACCAGTCCCAATACATAACACGAACTTGCTCGAGGCCTCAAATCACATCAAACAATATCAAAGCCACGAATCATACCCCAATTCAAGCCTAATGAACTTTGAAATTTCAAAATCTATATCTTGTGCCGAAACACATCAAATCAATTTGGAATGACTTCAAATTTTGCACACAAGTCATAATTGACATAACGAAGCTATTGCAATTTTCAGAATCGGATTTCGGCATCGATATCAAAAAGTCAACCCCCTGGTCAAACTTTTCAAAAATTCATCTTTCGTCATTTCAAGCCAAATTCCTCTACGGACCTCCAAATAATTTTCCGGATACGCTTCTAAGTCCATAATCACCATACGGAGCTATTGACACCATCAAAATTCCATTCCGGAGTCGTCTTTACACAGTTCTGACTACGATAAAAATCCTAAGACTTAAGCTTCCGTTTTGGGGACCAAGTATTCCAAATCACTCCAAATTATCCGGTAACTGAATTCAACCACGCACGCAAGTCAATACACATAATAAGAAGCTGCTCAGGGCCTTATGCCATCAGGCGAGGCTTAAATTCTTAAAATGACAAGTCGGGTCGTTACATAGGAAGTAATTGAGTAAATGGTAGCTATAGCAAGCTAATAACCACTAAACAATAGTGGTTTCTGAAAATTTCTCTATTTTAAATGGAGTAATTTTCATTCCATTAGTATAGTTTTACTTACAGCTTGTTTGGATGGTTGTTACCTATTGTATTGTATCGTATTATTACTTTAAATACGATATTTGTTTTGGTTGTTACTTAAATTTTATTGTACCGTATTATTAAATCCATCGTTACGTAACGACGAAATGTGCCACTTTATGTAACGACCGATTTGA